GCACGGTGCATGTAGAAGGAATTTTGCTGAAGACCGGCGATTCCGGCGGCGAGAAACTTCTCTTCGTCTTCGGTGCCGTCTAGCATCATTTTCTCTCTCTGTCTGTCTCTCTGCGTCTAACTTCTCTTCGATTCCCTCACTCTGCTTCTAACTGCCGGTCCAACCAAGCCTGTTTTGTTGTTGTTCGTGTTGGTCTGCGCTTGGGATTTACGTAGTTCAGAACGGAGAATATGCTTCCTCTTAACTTTTAACCTCTCCTTTTCCAATTTGACCCGCATTAGTTACTACTGTGCTTGTGGGTTACACCCCTGTTTCACGTTCTATTACATATAATATTTTAACAAAATTTAAATAACTATTACAAAAAATAAAATATTTAATCGATTAGAAACATAAAGGTGAAATTGAATAGTTTTTTCTAAATGAGAAATTAAATATTTTATTTTTAATTATTACCAAAGAATAGTTTATTTTTAATCAAAATTATCATTATTAGTTATTTAAACTCAATTTTAAATTTTAAATTTAATATTTTAATAATTTTATTATTTAATTAATTAAGATTTAATATTATGTACTTTTATATAATTTTTTTAAACTTTTAATGTACATTTTTAAAAATATGTATTATCCAACATTAAAAGGATAAAATATGGAATTATAATGATTTATGTGTCTTTCTTTTTATGTAATGCAAATTATTTTTATTCTATTAATATTTTATGTAAATAATTTATTTAGAGTTTTTGGAAAGTACAAAGTGTCATCTCATTGAGTGGTAAGAAATCTATAATAAAAAATCTATAATCATAAGGTAAACGATGGTTTAGGTTTTAAATATATTTACTTGTTAAATAAAATTTATCTCATAAAATTACGTTAGAAATTAATCACTTCTCCTAATAATTTTTAGGTTCAAGTCCTTAACAAAAAGTATAGATTCACTTTGAGGCAAAATCTGGGTGCTAGAGAAACTCAAAGAAATTCTAATCTCTGTAAGAGCTTTTGTTCTTTTTGGCTTCTATTTTCTCAAGAACTGAAGTGGGGTATATGAAATGGTTTATCTATTGGATTCTAGGTTGATAACTTGATCTTTGATATCACAAATTTGACTGATTTTTCTATCTCTCCTATTTTTGCTATGGAATTGAACTTCCCTATAACCCTTTATTGTGTTAAGGGAGAGTGGAAATGGACGAAAATCAAACCCATACTCCTTGATTATATATATAAATCAATTGCTCAATTTAATCTCTCTATGTTATTTAGTGATAAGATACTATCATCTAGTGGTTATCTAATAATGGTGTTTTTACTATTAAGACTGCTTATTAATTAATTTTTAACTAGACCCATAATCTTACTATTGGTCATGTTTTTAAAAGAGGTTGGGAAGTGGAAAGGTCCTCCCAAGATTTCTCTATTTTTGCAAAAAAAAAAAATTTACGATAAATTGCTAACTAACGAGGAAAAATGTAAAAGAGACATGTCTATTTTATTTATCTGTTTTAGGTATAGAGAGGTACCTAAATCTGTTATGCATGTGCTGCAAAAATATGTTTATGTCAAATAAGTTTGGGATATTTTATATTTTTCTAACCAATGAATGTATTTTTCAATAATGACCTTTTTGATTGGTTACTTTTAAATTTGTTTAATATATGTTTAAGTCAATTTCATAACTAGAATGGTATGTTTAGAGTTATAATTTGACACATGTAAAAAGATAATAATGAATTTATTTTTTAAAAATGTTATATTCAACATGTAGTTTTAGCTCAAAAAGCTCTGTGTGATGCAGATTACTTTGTTTATTATTGCCAAAAAAAGGTCTACATCTCTCTCAAGGTTGGCTGCAGATCAAATTTATGTAAGATGAAATCCTCTTCCTCCTGGACAACTTAAGTTGAATGTTTAGGTTTTGTCTTTAGTGTTCCTACTTGTGAAAGCCGGATTAGGGACATCCATAGCCAATTTATTGCTAGTTTTCATAGTTAGTTAACTTGGACCTTGTTTTCTTCTTGCTGCAAAACTTTGGAGTATCTACATAGGTGTTCAATTAATTATTTAAAGTAATGTCTAAATTATTTGAATTGAAAATAACTCAAAACGCAGTTGCGCCAATTTTAGAAGTTTAGCATATTTCTCATCATTTGTTTTCTTAAATTTGCAATATCAGAGATGTTTTAAAATCTATTAAGTCGGTTAGAATTGTTTACATGGGTAGAAAAATCAATTAATATAGCGACAAACTAGCCAAAATAGGTCTTAATTCTTTATCTCCTTATACTTCTCTAGATGAAACCCTTTCTTTTCTCCTTCCTTTTTCAAGTGTTGATGCCTATGGCAAGTGAACTCCTAAAGATATTGCGTGAGTATTTATGGTTCTTGGGCTTTTAGCCCTATTAAATAAGAAAAAAAAAGAATAAAATATATTTCACTTTAAATATTTAAAATAGATTTTGTGTGTCTTGACTTCTTTTTACCTTACAAATTCCTAACAAAATTGTTAATTTCTTTTGTTTATTAATGTTAGTAAAAAGTAAATAAAATAAATAATTGACAGTTATCTTGATTTAGTCAGAATATGTTTCATTTTTTTTAAACAATATTTAAAACTTCAAATTCTGTACATATAAAAATAAACAATTAAAAACATTTGAAAAAAAACAAAAGAAAAATAATATTGACATTAATTTTTATGTTTAATTTTAAACATTTAAAATAAGTAAAAATATATATTATAAATATTCTGACATATGAATTTATCTTTTGTAATAGCCTCACACCTTATAAAAATTCCAAATTTATTTCTATTAAAATTTAGATTTATAATAATTACTAAACTTTGTTAATCCAATACTATCTTTGTATTTAAGTTTTAAATTTGATTTTATTTAGAATGTATTGACAATGTAAAAGTCTTTTATATAGTCATTTAATCATAAACTATTTTTATATCATAAAAATTATTAAATTTTATAATAACTAGTTTAAAAAGAATATGTATTTCATAATTTAATTAGTTAGTAATTTAAATATTTTATATTTACAATGCATCAAAATTAAATTTTTTAAATTGCAAATAAAAGTTCAATCAAAATTGGTTAAGAATATTATAACTCATATATTTTTAATATTTGGCTAAAAATATTTGTATGTATATTATTATGAGACTAACAATCTAAATCATGATTTCCAATTGAGTATAATCACATATTTTTTATTATTATTATCATTGATGAATTCGAACAACTTTTAAATTAATTTGATGTACATGTGTAAATTCTATTTAATAATTAGTGACTTGTGTATGTACAGGATATTTTACATATATGGTTATTGACTTTAAACTTCTAATTGTACAATTTATTTTTTCAATACATGGAGCCCAGGCCGCACAAGCAAGACAAGAAGAAAAAATGTGCTCACAAAAGCTGATAGTTTCCAAACCATGCTTAGCCAAATAATTAGCCACTTGACTAATTTCTCTGAAAGTAGTATGCTGCCAAGCAATATTATACTCATTTAGATTGGATAAAAAAAGAAAATCAATTTTGAAATAGAAGCATGGTTATGTTTCCAGACATTAGGTGTTCTGGAGACTAATGTGAAATAAATGGACGAATAAGAAGCATGGGTGACAGGACATTTGAAGTTTGAAAGCTATCAAAGTCCTTTTCTTCTCATGAACTAGTTTACAGTGGTTGTGGTGCCTCATAGCATCATCTATTTAAGCTTACCCCCAAAAACCCCAATTTCATTCCTTAGTCACATATTAATTTATATTTTTTTATTTTTTAAAAGTTACTTTTATTTAATTTTTCTAAAATTTTTAAAAATAATTTTTTAATTTTATATTATAAAATTTATTTATTATTTATATTATTATTATTATTTTACAACGACTTGTTCATAAGTTCATCCAAACATGAATATAATTTGTTTTCCTCAAAATGCAACTGAGATTCTCCATAAAATAAGTTAGAGCTAAAAGATCATAAACATGCTATTTAGGGTATAACCCATGAGAAACAAACATGGTTTTATAACACTGTAGAGTTGATCATAACACTAATCCTAGCAATCAACCTCATTAAAATAATAGGCTTATCTATCTTTGTAACTTTTTTTTATACTGTGATAATCTATACTGTTTGTTAATTGTCATCGTCATTTGCTTTCCTCTCAAAACTAGTACGTAGTAACTAACTTAAGATTTTTTAGTTCTACTCTACGCACGAATATAAATGTTCATCTCGTTTAATTGAACTCGGTATTTTTATTTTTTTTGCACTTTAAACTCATGTATATGTGTATGTGTAATTTCATTTTCTGATATACAACAGTTGAACAATTCTCTCTTTTTAATGCATTATGTTCTCCTTTTTATATTAACAATCTTAATAATTACTTGTTTTAAGCAACTTCTACTATATTTTCTGTAACCATAAACTAATGACAAACAACAATAAAAAGACATCATATAACATAATTCTTACATAAACATGACATTATTGGAATTTCATCATTAGAAAAAGTATTAACTGTATAGAAGCACATCCGAATAATTGTTTTGAGGCGAATTATTTTCGTTACAGATTGAACATAAAAGATAGCGAAAGACTTAAAATAAATGCATCTAAGTTGTTTTGTTTATCTAAATCATTTTTCACAGCATTAGAGAATCTATTGACCAGAGTATTCTTCGTTAGTTAACTTTTTTGTCTGGGCAAGTCCAAACTGGGTTAAGCTGCGCCAGCACACTCCCCTACTGTGCATGTGTCGTCCCACCAAATACAGCGGTGCTGCTGTAGAACTAGAAACTTCTAGCAAAAACAATGCCTGAATACATATATGCCATGGATTATGCATCTATCTCTTATATGTCACAATGCGTTAAGTGTTTTATATATTCGTTCGAGTTTCAAACTTGAAAACGAAAACCAAGTTGCAACCTCTGGTTAATTAATTGATTAATTGTTTACTTAGCCCTACCAATGGGTGTGCTAGACAGCATTTGGGAGCTCTGTGAATCCTGTCACATGCACCACAGTAGTAAGCTCAAGAAACGCAAGCAACTTCAGGTAAAACTGCTTTCTCATTAGTTCACTTAAAGAATTATGTAATATTTGTTCATTGCACCAGCTTTTCTATAAAATATAATACAACTTGAATTATGTAATTTTTAATAAAAATTATTATATTGCGTAATACAGGGTATTTATAAAAAAAGGCGAACATTATAATTGAGATTATATAGATATGAAGAATGAATATATGATGAAGTTATTTGCATGTGAGAGTTTTATTTGGTAAATTAGAGTATAATTATTGAAAAATAATTAAGACAGTGGAGATAAAGGTGAAGATGGATTGCGAAGGGTGCGAGAGAAGGGTGAAGAAATCGGTGGAAGGGATGAAGGGGGTGACGCAGGTGGAAGTGGACCCAAAGCAGAGTAAGCTCAGTGTGACTGGCTACGTGGACGCACACAAAGTGTTAGAGCGTGTGAGACACCGCACGGGTAAAAAGGCCGAGTTCTGGCCCTATGTCCCCTACGACGTCGTTCCACACCCTTACGCACCGGAAGCCTACGACAAGAAGGCGCCGCCTGGTTACGTGCGAAAGGTGCTGCAAGATCCAGAAGCTTCGGCGCTTGCACGTGCGAGCTCCTTCGAGGTGAAGTACACCACGGCCTTCAGCGACGAGAACCCAAATGCTTGTACTGTCATGTGATGTTATGTTCCGTTCTATATACATCGCATATCATTTTGTACAGTGTAATTTAATTGCGTTGGTCTTTGGCTCCACTAGAATGTTGTGGATAATTCACGAAGCACCCAGTTTTGTTGTCATGTTTTGAAGTTAACGATTGAAACTTGTTAGTGTTATATTGGAGCTTGAAAAGTAAATGATTTTGTTTATGATCAAGTGTTAGATGAATGTGAAAAGAGAAAATGATAGGAAAGGGGTAAAATGTAATAGATAAAGTGCATGTATATATTGAGAGAAACTATTCATATATAAGATGATAAACGATTAATATTCAGTGTTTTATGAAAATTATCACTTAAAGCTCTGTGTGTATGTATGCATTTATGAGAGATTGTGGCCTATAAGTGTGACGGCATATGGCAGTTGCCAGCTCTTTCTTCGGAGCCTATAAATGCGCGTGCATTTGAGTTAGTTAGTAGTTGCTACCTGCAAATTAAGCCTGTAAAAAGAGAACTTGTATGAGTGAAGGGATATTTAATTTGAAGCAAAAAAATTGACACTACTTTACGAGATATTTATAATTTTTATTTATTTTTTCGCACATACATATCCTATTCATTCCCATCGGGTCATTAGATATCCAACTGGACTAGGGATAAAAATTTCGTTGACCTTCTGATGAATCCAAAGTCAAGACCTGCTCTTAAAAATAATAACTTTTAGTTTGAGTGTTTTTGGGAAAAAAATAAATGATATTACAATTTATTTGATTAGTTTAAAAGTTTGTTTATCAGAATAAAATTATCTAGTAAACAAATTATCTTATTAACCTGTTATCTTTTTAAAAAAATTACTTTATGTAACGTTTTATAAGCTCTTAACCACTATTGTTTTTCTATTTCTATCTTTATTATTTATTAGGAATTTTTATTTACCTTTTTATGTTTAGAACTTTTTAACATTCTTTCCCTCTCACTCTCATGAAATATATACACTGAATGACTATATTATAGAACGTTAACACCAATTTTGTCAAAGTATAAAATTATATAAATAATTAAAGCATGAAAATTATTTATTTAGACTTTGAATGTTTGATTTTGTCCCAACTTTTTTAATTAAAATTTAAAACAATAAGGGTGGGCTATAATTTAACGTTAGCTTTCATTTCTTGAGCCCAAAAGTAGTAAGATTAATAAACTAAAATAGACAAAGAATAAAAAGAGAATAGAGTGGGAAAATGAAATTAATAAAGTAAAAGTAAAAATAATTAGATGATAAAACTTACTGATTGGGATGTTCAAGTTCGTGAATCCTTTCTTTCAGCAGGCACTTTTGATGATAAAGGAAAGGTGATGATCGGGAATTTGATTGACAGTCAAATTTATTTGATTTGTTTATTTAAGAAATAAAGGGGGAAAAGATTCGACTGTAAATTAATTGCTTTGTCTGAGGAAAGGAGGAAAATGAGAAGATTTGATTGAATATTAGTTAATTAAATTATCAAAGAAAAAAAATGAAATAAGGTAAAATAAATTGAATTAATTATTTAATTTTCTAATTTTTTTTTGTGGTGCACAGCATGCCTCATTGATTTTTAGATTTTGAATGAAATCCAGTCAACAGTCTTCTAACAATTAACAATAATATTTTTAACTAAGCTAGATATTACAAGAGAGGTGTCATATAATTCTCCTTTCTAAAATCTTTTGTTAAGATAAAATCTTAGATAGTAATTAAAAAAATTATTTATGTAACCAAAAGAAGATGTGAAGCTTTGCTATAAGTAGCTACCAACCTTAAGAGGTATCCACACTAGCAACACACTAGCAAACCATCATTAGGGTCTTTATAATAGAAAAGCTTGCATCAGTCACAGAATATGAAGTTTCTCTTTCAAAAGCTTCTTTCTCAATTGCTTCTAGCCATTCTTTGGTCTTTTGCCACTGCTATCATTTCTCAACATTATGTTAGTGCTGTGAGTCTACCAAACAATGAAACTGTCCCAGCAGTAATTGTGTTTGGAGACTCTATAGTGGATTCAGGTAACAACAACCACATCAGCACTATAGTTAAATGCAATTTCCTACCATATGGTAAAGATTTTCCAGGAGGAAATAACCCAACTGGTAGATTCAGCAATGGCTTACTCCCATCAGACATCATCGGTAGAAAAATCCTTGCCCTTGCTTTATGTTACCGTATGTATAATAAAATACACATTTTCTCATTAAATTTCTTAACAGTTTTCTTTGGTCCTTTTCAGGTGCAAAATTTGGAGTCAAGAAGCTTTTACCAGCTTATCTTGATCCAAAACTACAACTTCAAGATCTCCTCACAGGTGTAAGTTTTGCCTCTGGTGGTGCTGGCTATGATCCTCTTACTTCTAAACTAGCTGTAAATGACTACCCTTGAACCTTACATTTATATATCTTCTATGAATAATTTCCATTAGCATATCTTAAAAACTAACTATAATTTAATCTCTGTGTCATTTAAGTCTGTGCTATCATTATCAGATCAATTGGACAAGTTCAATGAATACAAAAACAAAATAAAGGAAGCAGTTGGAGAAAACAGAACTGCAACAATAATATCAAAAAGCATATATATTGTGTGCATGGGAAGTAATGACATTGCCAATACTTATTCAACTTTACCATTTAGGCGACCACACTACGATGTTCCATCATACACTGATTTATTGGCTTCACAAGCCTCAAACTTCTTGCAGGTATGTTCTATTAAATAATCAACAGCGGAGGTTAGAATTTTCTTTGTGGAGTATACTTCTGAATTTAAAGTTAACTAGAGTAAAATCAGTGTCATGATTTGAACATTAAAAAATATATTTTATGTGACATTGCAATAATTATAATATTTTACTTGTTTTTTAATTTTTTGGCACACACATATAAAAAATACAATTAAAAATCGATGATATATGACTGATTTAAAAGAGTAAAATCAGTTCATAACATGTAGCTGATATCAAACATTTATGTAGTTGATAGTTTACATTGTTATTAGTAGTTGTTTTGTAGTTGACAATTGGTAGCTAAACAATCAATTCTACTTTGGTAAACTTTGACGGTACAAGGAAGATTTTCAACCAATAATATTTAGACATAAGTTTAAGTGATGATTTTATTTAATAATAAATTATATATAATAATATTTATTTATATAACTTGTCACATCTTTCGTTTTTATTGGTATAATTTTTTAAATATGGTAACCATAAAAAAAATTTGAGATACTATAGCACACACTTTCTACTTTTTTTCTTTTTGGATCAAAAGCTAATTATACATATCAATCATTATCTATGTTTGAATGTATATTTCTTTCATGATTCTTGAAACTTATTTATCAATATGAACAACAAGACCAATTGAATAAATTGGGCGAATGTTCCATCATACCCTGATTTATTGGCTTCACAAGCCTCAAACTTTTTATTAAATAACCAACAGCAGATGTTATAATTTTCTTTGTGAAATATACTTTTAAATTTTAAAGTTAACTGGAATTAGTATCATAATTTAAACAAAAAATATATATATACTTTATGTGACATTACAATAATTATAATATTTTTTTTGGCACACATAAAAAATACTCTGAAAAATCAAAGATATATAATTGACTTAAAAGAGTAAAATCAGTTCATAACATATAACTGTTATCAAACATTTATGTAATTCACAATTTACATTATTATTATTACCCGTTTGTAGTGGGTAATTGTAGCTAAACAGCCAATTCTACTTTAGTAAATTCTGACCATACAAGAAAGATTTTCTATTAATAATACTTAGATATATATATATATATATATATATTTTTAAAGTAATAATTTTATTTAATAATAAATTATATAATAATATTTATTTATATAACTTATCACATATTTCTTTTTTATTAGTACAATTTTTTTAGATACGATACTCGTAAAAAAAATTTGAAGTACCACAATTCATACTTTCTACTTTTTCTTTTTTGGGTCAAAAGTTAATTGTACATATCAATCATTATCTATGTTTGAATGTAAATGTTCTTCACTTATTTTTTAAACTTATTTATCAATGAACAACACGACCAATTTAATAAATAGGTATAGACTTTTGTATCAGACCACCGGTTCTTGGAACTTATTTTATATATCTTTGCATACAAATTTTACATAAGAAAAAAAATTATAACAATGAATTGAATTAATGCAGGAACTTTATGGGCTAGGAGCTAGAAGAATTGGAGTAATTGGCTTGCCAGTATTAGGGTGCGTGCCCTCACAGAGAACACTTCGTGGAGGCATACGTAGAGCATGCTCAGATTTTGAAAATCAAGCTGCAATCCTCTTCAACAGCAAACTCTCATCTCAAATGGATGCTCTTAAAAATAAGTTTCCGGAGACTAGACTTGTCTATCTCGATATTTACAACCCATTGCTGAATATGATTCAAAATCCCGCTAAATATGGTAATCAGATACATTTATTATCATCATGAATAAACCTTTTTGGTAATTGATAATTAGTGTCTTAACTCTTAATGAATTAAAAATATTTTTAAGGTATTCTTCAGGTGATTTTCAATACAGTCTCGACTTAATTTATAATTTTTCTGATTGCTCTTATGGTGCCCCGTATAAAACTCTACATTTTTATAGGTACCTGGTATGATTATATCTTTCTGAACATCCAACAAATACCAATTATATGATGCCAATGATTCCATGACATTAGCAAACACAAAATATAAAGTTTACATTTTTAGAGACTTCTCAAATGAAAGGAAATTAGTAACTAACTAGCTACATCAAAGTGATTTTGCATGTTCATATAATTGTTGGGTTGTTTGTATTACTCTTATATTGGTTCCATCATCCACTTCCCATGAGACCTACAAACTGGCATGAAAATGTGCTCAGCTCCCAACTAGAACAGAAATGGACTAGAATTCTCATCTTGGGGAGCTGTCTTGACTAATCCAATAAGTGCCAAAGTTTGATTAGCACATTTTCATTTGTCTAATTCATTGCTTATGATATTAATTTGGTGATTTAGGTTTTGAAGTAATAGACAAAGGATGCTGTGGCACAGGAAATATAGAAGCAGGCATACTGTGCAACAATTACACCCCACACATTTGTTCAAACTCCTCAAACTACATATTCTGGGACAGTTTCCATCCAACGGAAGAGGCTTATAAAGTGATTTGTTCTCTGGTGCTTGATAGCAAAATCAAGGACTTCTTCTGAAGAGCATTTTCAACTTCATTTTTTATTGTTACTAATTAATATAGTAATATTATCTACAATTTTCTATTCTTGTTCACCTGCGGTCCAAAATAATGATTTTTAATCCCTTCTAACGCCGCACGGTGAATGCTACACATAAATGCTAAGAAAATATGGAAAATATTTATTGATTATTATTTGACAGGTCATTCATACTCAAATTTTTTGATTATATCCCTTTAATGTTATGAGTGAGTTTGGTGGTGTGGTGACATTACGAAGATAGAAAGTACGTAGAATTAATTAGTGTGATAGGTGGCAGTTAGAGGATGCTATCAACGACTGGTTTGGTTTTAATAATTATAAATATAAATGTGAACTGAAATTTTTTTCAAAACAATGGGAATGACCACCCTAAATATTATATTTTGTACTCGTATAATGTGATACGAGTACAATTTCATAACAATTATTTTTTAAAATAACAATTTCATAACAAGTGAGTCAGATGCTAGGAAAATGTATAGGAAACTCTAACGAGCAAGATTTTTGTACGATTTTTTACTTCCTTTGGATATTTAACCGTAGATATATACTTATTATTTATATTTTTATAAAACATAGTCTAAGGCTTAACGAGTGTTTGCAAATAATTAATCATTAAAACAAAACACTTTTATAGAACGCATAGAAAAATAATTATTTATTTAAGATAAATTTATCCGACCACACACTTAAATGATCAGCATCATATCCAAGATCTGATTTGGTGACCAAACCTGTTAATTCACAAAATCTAGTGTAGGGCCTAACTACACAGTAATAATGATTAATGATGAATTAGAGGAGAAAATATAACTTGTCAGCTTTACCTAACTCCTCCTCCTGGTCGCAGTCCCATTCTCTTGTTAATTATTGTCATTGTTAAAAAAGGATTTTGGGCCTAACAATGGTTTTTAAACGTGCATTAGGATAAACCCTTTGAAAAGCCCAAACTCGCGTAAATGAAGCCCAAAAGTCTTAACTTCTCTTAGCCCAAAACCCTAGCCTGCCATCCCTTCATGTGCTTCCCAATACAACAGAACAACGATGCCAGTGCTAAACTTTTCGATTGTTGGCATCGTTACACTTACAGCACAAGTTAAATAATTGCTTTGATTTTTTTGCAAAGCAAGACAATAACTATAGATAAACAGAGCCTACTTCAACTTTTGCATTTTACGGATTTTTTTTTTAAATTTAATAGCTTGTGCCCAAAAATTTTGCGTATATGTTTGTTCCAGCGTGTGATTGATTGCCCTATATAGGACGAGAGGGACCAAAAAGGACATTGATTTTCAATTATGCTTTACGAGTTTACCTTTATTGTCCATTATTCTACCTACATAATGGTTGACACTATGTCATCTCATTGTGTTAATTATAGCGGTTCAAAAGGTCAGGGAAATTGCTTTACAATCTGAACCAAATGGCCATCACTCAAAAGACTGCAAGATTAGAAAACAACAGATACAGTGGTGTCCATTTGTCAATGGACGATAATTATGGTAATTATGGTTGTTAGGTTAAGATATTTGTACACCTTTCTTTATCCAATATGCCATTAATTAGATAATTTTATTTTTGTACAGTGTTAATATAATTTTTATATTAATTATTTTTATTGATATGACAATATGATTAAATGATACGTGTATTTCAATTGATTTTTTAATTAAATCCATTTAACATTCAACGTATAGATTAATTGACAGATAGAAAAAAAATACTAATCAGAAGTTTTGAATTCAATTTTTTTATAAAAAAATAGTTATTCGCATCTTACCCATCTTAATCTCAACACATTACTAACTTAAAAGATATTCTAAAAGTATAATAAATTAACTATTGTTTCACAATTCATTTTACCGTTAATTTTTTAAAATTTGAATATTGTCATTTTAAAAACATATACATATAACCTAATTTTTTACCCATACACTTTTGCTTTTTTGTGACGAATGTATACTTTTAGTATTATTTAAATGTCGCTATACATGCACCAAAGTACCTACTTCTACACTCAATTACGACAGAACAGCGTAACTTTTTCAGGCATGATTTAGTCTTCAAAAACGAAAAAACCAGGCATTTATACCGCTTTTGAGTTCTGAGTGGTGCACTTGTGCCCTGCCGTAGACGCAATGTTTAGAAACACTCAAAACAGATATAAACTATAAAGCATGTGAAAATGTGGGAAAGTTAAAAAGATGCTTCCTCACTAGATCTTAGGATATTCATGAATTTATCAAAGTTTAACCCTTCAAGGGTAACCCCAACCAACATTAAAAAAAATAAAAAATCTGTGATTTGTATGAGTAAACTTTTGACACTATTATAATATCTTAATTGGTCACTTTTTTTTATTTATTTAGTGAGCACAATTAAAAATTGACCTCATATACACAATATCATAAGTTTAATAGAAGGAGTATAAACTTTTTAGAGTGCTTAATTATTAACGGATAGTTACATGTAGCTTACTCATTTTACACACTTTGATTAGTTAGAGTTTTTTTTTTATCCATTGTATCTATCTATCTATATATGAAACAATTCTCTTGCAATAACGTCATCGCACAGTGTGACATACAGTGAATAGTGAGCCACATGAGCAAGCATTATCTTGTGAAATGGGTGTCATTTTCACGACCAACAAATGTGCAAAGGTCCCAATCTGGCACTTCTTAGCATGGGACAAATCAAAGGCCATTTTGATCTTGGCTTTCCGTATGCCAACCACACAATAAAGATTGTCCTAGGCGTAATAGAAAATTGGACGAAGACATAAAGTCGCAACCACTATATTTTCCCTTAAATGTGATGAAAACTAAATGATGATCTAAAAGACCAAATGTGTTTTCATGCCTTCGGATCTGTCTTGATAATGTTGAACTCAAACGAACTCGACAGATGATATTGATACCTGAATCCACGTTGACATGGTAAAGGGTGCAAACATTAATATTAAATGTCATAGAAAAGTAAACCTAAGTTGGAATATTATTATAGTGTTGCAATAACCAATATATCCATAATATTTGATTAGTGGACAGTGGAGAATCCCCTCTCCCGTGACCAAAAAATTAATTATAGGGTCAATTATGATAGCATCTTATATTAATTATTTGCCTGCCAGCAGGGTATCAGTTTGTCTCTAGTGCAAGATTATGGTGATGGAGTACTCATAAAGAGTTATTTGTATGATTAATTAAACAAATATACGCAACCATTTTCACTTATAAAACATTCCTTCATTCCAATATAATTAAGACCCATAGAGAATGCAACAATAGTGGGTCACGTGGATACCACAATAGAACTAGGCGCATATATAGTTTACCTTATAAAAATAACATCTTTTTAAGAGTTTTCTTAAAAAATTATATAAAAAAAGTATTTGAATTCAAAATAAATTATTTTAAACTTACTATATACATGTGCGTTTTTAAAAAAAGAGAAAAATAAATACATATCATTAAATTTTAGTTGAAATTTATCCATATAAATCGGGATCAAATGACACTTTCAACAAAATTTTATCTACTATTCGCTTATATTTTAAATGACATACTACATATTAAAATAAAATAAAATGATAAAGCATACAATATTTTTATTATTTAATTGTTTATAAAATTAATCTATTTTATGGGAACTTTAAATTTAATAATTAAATTAATGACACTTATTTTTTTATAAAAAATAGTACAAATGTAATTTTACTAAGTAATTTAAGTTTGTCCATACATACATATGAAAAAATAAATAAAATTATATCAATGTGTACTACATTCACTTTTACACTTTTTAATAATTTTATATTTGATAATTTATTTTAAAATAAACTATTATGTTAAAAATTATAATATATAAATTATGTCTATAAAATTAAATATCAAACTATAATGATTTAACATTTATTTATAATATCAAAATTAATATAATATTATTTTAAAAATATAAAAGTATGAAAACTCTTTAATTTACATTCATATCATTATTTAATTTTAACAAAGTTAGATACAAGTGATCAAAAATTAAAATAATACATAATAATAACTCAATAACAAATTAACAACAAAAAAATTATATAAATTATTAACTATACCCAAATTTACCACGACAAAACTCAAAATTATTAAAGGTGTAGGCCATTGTGCCATATCGAATTGCAACCACGGCATTGCGGGGACAGATCTCGGAATATAAAATCACTTGAATTGCATTTTAATCAGTGCCCAATATCGACACCCAAATGTTTGCTAAGGGATATTCAAAATTAATATCAATCTTTATCTATCTGTCTATATATATAGACACACACTATGAGAGCAAAATAAAAGTTAATTATTAAATGTTAGCTTTCTTGAGACGTACAATTACTAAATCATAATGAAAGGCTTCTTATTCATATTAAGAATATTGATACGAGAGATGTTCAATGATAGAGCAAGGTCAATCTCGTGGACGAAACTTCAATTAACATTCAGCTTGCACACCAATAATATTACAAAAGCAAATAAAAAAACAAAATCATGCAACATTTTGTTTTTTCTTCCCTCTCCCTCTCTCTCTCCACTTATATTGTTGATCACAACCACTCCAAATACGATTGATGACAATTTGAAACCCAGGTTTATTACAATGTAAGAGATTTTCAATGATAGAACATGCAAGGTCAATGCTATGGATCGAGGAGATCGGTTTAACACTCTGCAACAACAATCAAGCAATTCTCAGAAGTTGTTAAAATTCATTTCATACAAATTTTGCCAATTTTTCTAGTGTCACATTATTCTTTATTACTTTAGATAATGTAATAAATTAATCAATGATTAAATTAAGCAATACATGTTTCATATTTTTTTTAAAACAATCCCAAGTTTAAATATTTACAGTATTAATGGTCCTGAGATTAAAGTTAACAGCGCGTCTCCCTAAAAGTACTAGTGCATCCGGTGCTGCTCACTCTAATAATAATGTGAAATTATTGTGTTGCTTTCCAATAATTAAAAAACTATATTAAGAATATATAAAAACAAAATTAAAAAAAGTCATCATATTTATGAAATTAAAAAGAAATAGCTAAAAGAAAAAAAAAGGATAAAAAGTAGAAGAAAAGCGAAGATGGGGGGACAATAGGGAGGGTTGTGTATATATCTATCTACCTGTAGAGAGACAGTGTAGAGTTGGAAGTATTGGCTAGAGGTGAGAAGACCGCAAGACATAAAAAGATGGTACGCCACGTGCTACTCATGACATGTGCACTTCCCACAGGGAAATCTACGTTCACCGTTCCATTATGTATCATTATCGTAATTGCCCCTTGTTTTCGCTTAATCAACTTCAACACCTCATTATCGTAACTAATCTCATTATTCCTCACCTAAATCACACTATTCATCCCTCCCTTTAACCTTTGTTGGTTGGTGGTTCCTACTTTTTCTTTTCCCTTTTCCTTTTCATTTTCAACCTCCCAACTTCCAATTTTCCTTCGTCAATCACTCCTCTTTCATCAGAATCTAATTGACAACGGCTTAAAGATAATTTAAAAGGGAGAACTCAGAAGCAACCAATGGGTCTAGCAACTTAGTAATTTATAAAATGACATAATATAATTATTATTCTATATTTTGAATTTTTTAATTTTTTCAATTGTAATAAATATTTTTAAATACATATAGGGAAAAAAAGAGTGGGAAGCTTGGCAGTGATGCACATTGCTTTCAACTAAACTACAGTAGCTAATGCCAGCTGGCAAGGTATATTAAAAAGAGTTACACTCCCGAGTAGCACTGAATACCTTCTGGAAGGGTCAACCTGTACGTATCACGCCGTTACAGTCTGACAGCCCGTGAAACGGAGAGTGGCATTATGGTAATAAAATTACAAAATGGAGGGCATTTGCGAACTTCCAAGTGGGCATCACATGCGGCCAAGTTCGGCACTGCACAAAACAGCACCGAACCGAAACTGTGACCGATAAGAGCAAAAGAGAGAGAGAGACAGAGAGTGATTCACAAGGACGAGAGCTCCTTCCCGCAAAGCAATGCCTGCCATCACCTGAATTCCATGCTCTTTTTCCATTTCTTCACATTGCTTTCGTCCCTTTCACGTAAGTAACACTACTTCACACGCCAGCCATTAACAAAACTAACAAGCACTGTCTCTGCGTTTTGCATACTGCTCAATGAATTGTTTTCTTTTGGTAAAAATGTTTAATCCTGTGTTTTAATATGCTTCTGAAATTTGAACAAGTTTTTCTTTTCTTCTTGTAATTTTAAAAAAAATATTAAAATGGTTAAAGCGGATTTGAGTGTTGTTTAATAGTTGATTTCAAGCTGGGAAGTGATTTTAGTTTTCTTAGGTGTCAAGATTTGTTGGTTTTTTTCTTCTTCTTTTTTTGGTTTGTTTATTTTTGTTTTGATTGATTTAATTGCATTGTTATGTTCTGCAGTGTCTCTGCCTATGAATTTTCAAGATCTTCAACGGCAACGCTTTATCTGAGATACGTTTTTTAAGAGGAATGCTTGATCCGGCCTGAAATATTCGATTGTTTAGTTTTTTCTGCTTCATTTTCTCCCATTGCATTATCGAAGGCTTAGGACGTCTATGTTATTTGCTTAATCAGAAGGTAAAATGAAACTCTATTGTTTCACGCGGTAGAAATTATTTTTATGCGTGTTTTTTTAGGGGGCATTATTATTATTTTTTTAATAATCGCCTTTATTATTTATTCCGCATTTATGACGAAATTTAGGATTCAAATGCAATTTTGGAAATCGGTCCTCTAAGCTGATGTAGTTGGATTTTAGGTTGATTTTCAGAGAGCATGGCGTCATGGGATCAAATGGGGGAACTGGCCAATGTGGCGCAGTTGACTGGCGTAGATGCTGTGCGATTGATTGGGATGATTGTAAGGGCTGCAAGCACTGCGCGGATGCATAAGAAAAACTGCAGGCAGTTTGCACAGCATTTGAAGTTGATTGGGAACTTGCTGGAGCAGCTCAAGATCTCAGAGCTGAAGAAGTACCCAGAAACTAGGGAGCCTCTGGAGCAGCTGGAAGATGCCCTTAGAAGGTCTTACATATTGGTCAATAGTTGCCAGGACCGTAGCTACCTTTATTTGCTGGCTATGGGCTGGAACATTGTTTACCAATTCAGGAAGGCTCAGAATGAGATTGATAGATACTTGCGTCTCGTTCCTCTCATTACACTTGTGGATAATGCTCGAGTCAGGGTATCTGTTGTTCTTTGCTGTGCTCAATTATATGATGTCTCTTGTTTTGAATGGTTTTTTTAGTGTTGACCACGGAAAAAAGGGGGAAAAGTTTGTATTTTTTAAACCATTGGAATTATTCTTTCAACGTCACGGATGCTACTGATCAATCGTGCCTGTGGTGTATTCCACTTCAAATTTATATCTACATTGTATACATAGCCATCTTAGTTTATGAAGTTCTGAATTTCTATGAACTTTTTCTTGGGTGGGGAGGAGTTAAATCGTTATTTACGGTACTGACATAGGGGTACAGTTTTAGTAAGCCTCATGGCAAAAATATTAAAGTAGAAATCCAAGTTTTGGCCGGTTTTCAACATTTGTTGAAGGTTCTTGTCAGCTTCAACATCGAGCAATGTTTTAGTTTGAGGCTATCAAATATTGAAAGGGGACATGAATTAAATTGTCTTAAACATGTTATCCAGCATATCCCACTTTTTGCTATCATTGTTTGACTGTTTCAGACTTTCAGATACCATGCTGAAATATTGTAGTGGAAAAAAATAGGGTCCTGCGCTATTTAGTCTGTGTGAAAGAGTATGTATGCATGTATTTGAGACTTGGACAAGCTGCAGCGTTTTGTTTCTGGATTTTGCATATTCCCAGCATTTATGAGGATTTTGACCTGCTTTATATTGTCACTTTAATGGTAGCATGTGCGTCTCTGTAAATTTGGTCTGAAATATATGTGATTAACAATCCACTTCTCTCTCATTCCGTGAAATATTCAGGAGAGACTTGAAGTTATTGAGATGGATCAACGTGAATACACATTGGATGATGAGGACCAAAAGGCACAGACTGTTATTTTCAAACCTGAGCCTGACAAAGATGACACTGCAGTGCTGAAGAAAACTCTTTCCTGCTCTTACCCCAACTGTTCTTTTACTGAAGCGCTTAAAAAAGAAAATGAAAAACTTAAATTAGAGCTACAACGGTCGCAAGCAAGTTTGGATATGAATCAGTGTGAAGTCATTCAACGTTTATTAGATGTCACAGAAGTTGCAGCTTATTCTCTTCCAGAGAAATGCTCACCAGGGAAAAGTCATAAGAAAGAGGAATACAGTCACCCTGATGCCAACAGTGACAAGGATCATTCATCTGATGAAAAATACCATGCAAAAATTGACAAGCATTCCCCATCAAGGTGACTTATTTATCTCTTCCGTAATTTCAATTTGTTTTTGGTTGACTCAAGTTATCTAGTTGACTGAAAATTCAAATATTTATGTGGAGCTTGAACCATATGCTTCTGACATGTAGGAAAAACCCAAGGTTACCCGCTATTAACTACACTAAAGTTCTTGCTCCTTCCATCATTCTGTTACATTGGCATGCAGTCAATAGTAGTTATTTTTAATAAATTTTATCTGTCTTTATCTTTTGGTTCCTTATATCTACAGTGAGTCTGATGCTTATATGCTTGGTCTCTAACAGATATTCAGTTGCACAAAAGGATCTACTGTCAACTGGAGGTTCATATCAGCAGGAAGATTGGCATACTGATTTACTTGCATGTTGTTCTGAACCATCTCTTTGTATGTTCTCCCATAGTTGATTTACTTGCTTGTTGTTCTGAACCTTATCTTTATATCTTTTTAGTTGGCTATTATAGAATAATCTGTGGTTCGGGTTTGTAGCCTTATCAAAGAGAATGTCTTTTCTTGTCATTTCCATTTTGTCAGCAGTGCTAGTACTTAAACCCTTTATCTGGTATGTTTCTACAAAACCCAAGTCACATATCCATGTTCCTTTGTACCATTATCTTGAGATTTTATTCTTCATCTTTTTATAAAACTATCATATGCTCAATGTCTCTGTTTAGGTAACATGATTTGGTGGTTCCCCCTTCCTTTATGGACACCCCTATCTTTTCAATTGAAAAATTAGTCTAATGTAAATTTGACCTATTTCTTTCTCTTTCACCAAATTTTTAACTTTCTCTAGTTGTACTTATGGGTGTGTGGTTTGCATGATAAGCTGTTTGACACTCAATTATAGAAAAGCTTGCCTTAGGTGGTTTGGACATGTGTGAAAAGACTTATAGAAGCCCCCAATATGGAGAGTATATTGTGTGGAGGTATCTGTGGTGGGTACCCAATCGCTAGAGGAAGAGGAAGTTTGGGAAAAAAAATATAATTGAAGCCATTAAGAAGGAGTGAATAAATAGAAATTGGCTTGAGAGAGCCTCCTATCCTATACTTCTCATTCCTAGCAATAAATATATCATTTGATCTGCAGGTTTGAAGACATTCTTCTATCCTTGTGGAACATTTTCAAAGATTGCTACTGTTGCAACGAACAGGCCCATATGTAAGTTAGCTATAATGCCTCGGATCACTGTATCATTTTAAATGTTTCTTAACTTCTTGCCAACGAGGCTTGAATTTATGTAGTTCAAATTGACATGAATCTCAATACTATACTGTATTGGTTTAGTTTAGATTTTTCCCTTCAGCATCATTTCCTTGTTATCCATGATGATTGTGGGAAACTAAAATGATGAAATCTGAAATCTGGACTAAGAAGTCTTATTTATACTTTCTTATGTTGTGAAGATTGAAGCAAGAGAGTTATATCTTGAATTTCGCCTATATTGAAGACATGATTTTATGTAATTAAGGCCTTTTCCATTACTCATGAGATAGTGATAATTGATAAAGGTTCTTATTGTTGCAAATTTTCTCATTGCTTGTTATGTCTACCTCCAATCTTGTTTTTATGAAACACTTTAAACATTACAGAGATTCTGTTACTATGATCTTAGTTTTGTGTTTTTTCAGCCTCTGGGGAAGCATGTAATGAGTTGATGGCATATTCATTAATTTTGTCTTGTTGTTGCTATACTTGCTGCGTAAGGAGGAAGCTTCGGAAGATGTTGAACATCACAGTAATGCTTCCTTCCTTCTCTGCATTAATACGATCTCTTGTCCCCTCTTATTCTGTGCCTTGTGTTTGTATCATTAGCTTCATTTAAGATGCATATCACATGTGAAGCTTTATTTAGCATCATTCCTCACTATACAATGTAAAATGTTTTCATTTAAGTCTGAGACTATGAGGGATATGTTCCATAATCCACACCTATTTGTGTAAGCATGCTATTGAAATTGGCTGGCAGCTATTAGCTATTACCTAATGTCATATCATGAAGTATGATTAATCTATTTTTATGCAATTTATAACAACTCTTATTATTTCAAAGTAGGTTCTGGTTGTCCAATTTCCAAAGTGAGTTTAACAAAATAGATAATGTATTTGTTGAGATTCGAGGGTAAGTTGGAATTTAGCATTATGAATACTTCTGCTGGTCTCTTTACTCACAGCTACTTTCTATGCTAGGGTGGCTTTATTGATGATTTTCTCTCTCATTTGATGTGCTGCTGCTGTGCCCTTGTGCAAGAATGGAGAGAAGTGGAGATCCGTGGGATTAGTGGTATGTCCTAATTCTTCAGCTTGCTTCAATGGAATATTGGGAACTTTATCTTGTTCAAAGTGCTAATTCACCTTGCAGGTGTCTTGGTCGTCTTTCCTTTTCTATCGGCACCTATTGAATTGGATCTAGCTTGCTATAAATTTCTATTTATATTTTACTATGACACTTCCATTTTAGCCCAAAAGCATTCTTTCTCATCGTTGCTCAAGTTACATGCAAATTGTTTGATGTTAGACCGTTTTGCAGGTCCTGAGAAGACCAAAACAAGCCCTCCGCCCTCTCAATATATGGAATCTTAAATTAACAAATGAGTCATTTGGTTGTTTAGGGATTCAAGGGTCCTTGAAGACCATATTAAATAGAGGCTACTTGGCTGTTAGAATTCTCACAGGAAGGCAGGAATTATGTATTTTTATTCTCACCGCACCTGGCCTCGTTTTAACTATGTATTGTATAGCAGTTTTATTTTGTCGTACTTGAAAACAAGTTGCTTTTAGATTTAGTTCATGGTGTATCATAAACTGATTTTTTTCTTTTTCCCCGGTTTAATATAGTTTGAGTTCATTTCTTGGCTTGTTTTGTCATGATCGTTTTGTTGGCCTTTCACTTTCACTATTTCATTAGGCACATTTTGATGGACCCCACTGCAACATTGCTGTTATTAAGCATTTGGACAACAAGGTTAATTTCCGGAGACAAATTTGGGATGAAAGATATTGCTTGCAAAGGACATTATTAAAGACTGGTGGATACCATTAAGTTCCAATATTCGTTTGTGTTCATATTCGTTCCATTGTTTTCTTGGGACTGGAATGAAACCTTGTCCTCATTTCCAGTCTCCCTCCCCTAGCAAGCAAATCTCTTTTATAATCGACAATACCTTTTCTCTCGGTAGTTTTCCTTACCATTTGATTAAAGGGAGGGACAGGGAGCGACTTAAAAAAAAGGATAGGAGAACATAACTTTTTTGTTATTTTTAGACCACAAGTATAAATATTGCATTTTTAAAACTATTTATTAAATTATAGTAAATTTATAACTATTTCCCTGTTCACATGGCAGTGTTTCATAAAACGGCTAACAAAAATAATAACTTTTTTAAAATAAATTTTGCTACTAGAATTGCGAAATAAGGAGATGATGACACATGTTGTGATGTGCAAAATTTTACAATACTAATGGTGAAATTATTTAAATATTTTTTAAAATTTTTTTTTACTAGAAATGCAAAATTAACTTGATTGTGACATGTAGCATAATTTGAGTAATTTTGTATTTTTGGTAGCGAATTTTTTTTTGTTATGTAAGCCACAAAAATAACAAGAACTTGACACCTGTCATACATTTGACCTATTTCACTAATAATATAGTAAAACTTACAATATATATATATATATATATATATATATATATATATATATCACTCGAGTACCTCATTTTCATTGAGGAAGAATAAGTTTAAAAAATCAGGTTAGTTTTAATTTATTTTATTATTTATTTTTAAAAATTTTAAAGTATAAATTTAGTTATTGTTAAGCTATTTCTAATTAAATAAATTGATTAATCAATGAATGAGTGTTATATTTCTTTTTATTTTAGAAAAAAATTAAATATTAAATAAAGTTTATTTGTAAAAATGCAGGATAAGTAAAAAATTTATTATCATATATTAGAATGATAGAATCTATGAAAGAAATGAAGTAGTGAGTTTTGAAGAAAGTAAGAAAGTGATTCAAATAAAGTGAGGAATAAGTTTTGAAGTCTTGAAAAGAAAAATTCATTTAAAATTTAATCTTGATCATAATTAAGTTATTTCTAAATTAGTTTCTCATTTTTTATTGATAGAACTATTAGACAATATACAACTTTAGATATATGTGATGATGAATATATTGATTATATGATAAGTGTATTTCAACAACAATCTGGTAGAAATGTTATTGAGTTGTATGTAGATATTGCTGTTGGTGGAAGTTCATCAATGCTGTTGCAGATAATAAAATTAAATTTAACACTATTACAACAAAATGATGGCACTCTTATGAGTTGTGATTGCTATGAAGGTAATATTAATTACTCTGTAATAACTTTTTATTAATATATGAATTTGTTAGAATTAAAAGTTATAAATTTGCTGCAATAAAAAAATTAAGAATGATGTTGATGAAGATAATGAAAACTCAAGTTATGATAGTTATAGTGATGGAGATGATGAAAGAGAAATATCGTTAGATTGTTATTTTTCTACTGGTGTTGAAGGCGGGTTTGATTTCAACTTAAATATACAAAAAATAAAATAGTATGAGGTAATGTGAAATAATATTAATTTTTTTTTTGTTTTTATTTAACTATGTAAATATTAATGTTAAAGATTTTCACAATATCTAATGTAAGAGATACTGTAATTTCTTTTTGGAATATTACTCCAACATATAAGTATATTAATTAAGAACATCCTAATCAAGAGATGAATTGTAACACCTTATTTTCAATATTCATTAAATAATAATTTCACAATTTCGGGATAATAAAAGTTCCATTTCAAATAAAGTTTTCAACCCATGATTTCATCAAATAATTCAAAATAAGAAAAAGGGGTTACAATTTTCATCAAGCACTACTACAAGACCTTTTTTAAATACATTATTTTCAAATTTATATCCTAGTCCTATAGCAGTTCCATCCACTCCTTTCACTGAGTCCGGTGTTAATCGTCTTGGTTATTTAATCGTCTTGGTTACTTAAAAAATGAATGTAAGGGTGAGTACTCTATGCTACCAAAACACAGTCAAACATAGAGTCTCACCTCTAGCACATTTCTAATACCTTAAATAAACACAATCACATGCAACATTTCACATCCATAAGTACAAAACAAAAATCCATGCATACACACACCAGCCACACTCACTATAGCACTGTGATCACAGATTTACACCATGAATGATCGCCGGTTACCCTCGCCTCATGGATACCACGTGGGCAGTCACGAGTCGCTCAACAAAGGTATGGTCAGAGGTCTAGTCAGGAAGAGAGTGTGTGGCCCGTGGTGTACCCGTTCCACAGTCGGTGTCACCACCACTCCCCCTTCCCCAAGGTATTTCTACCGTCCTCGTCTTTCACACCTCCAATGTATCGCTGAACCATCCACAGCACATTACAAAGGCGCTAACACGCCCATTCACACATATTTCATTCACACATGCAATAATCATGCTTATAAACGGCACACAACCCACATTCATTTCATATTACACGGCACACAGCCCACATTCATTTCACATTACATGGCACATAGCCAATATTCATCCATATTACACGGTCCTCAGGCCCACATTTGTTCACAATATATGGCACATAGCCTTCATTTATCCACAATCACCTTAATTCACGAATCAAAGGCAATCCATTACACACAATCACCCACACGGGGTCTAACTATTCCAGCACACATCACATTACACACTAATTTTCATCAAACACATAATTACTACTCTCTATCTTAGCCACATTGCATTAATCAACAAAACACACAAGAATTATAATGCATTGAGATAGGGTAGAGTCCCCCCTTACCTCTGATTGATGTCTCACACGCTAAATCCACCAAGAAGTGCTCCCCCTCACAGATTTCGTCCAAAACACATGGAGAAACTCCATGAGAACCTAAAGAAACTCAGAAACAGAAAAAAAAGGGATGAGAAACGGAACCCTAACCATTAAATCAATCTTCAATCAAGCTCCCGAACGACTTTGGAGGCAATTAATTGGTGGAATACGGTTTCGGGTCGAGAGGATTGAAGAGATTAGAGAGGAAATTTGAGAAATGAATCTCAAATCCCTAAACCCCCTTTTAAAACCCCTCAGATCGCGATACTCTCGCTACAGCGAGATATTCTCACTGCAGCGACACGCCCTCACGCTGTAGCGAAAATATCAGACGAAACTGCATTCTGATTTTTGCAGAATCTTACTACAGCGAGACCCTCTTGCTACAGCTAGACTGCACCCCAAATTGTCGCTTTGTCGCTATAGCGAGACGTCTCTTGCTACAACGAGAAGGCAACAGTTCTAGTCCTTCCTCCTAGGGCCCTCTCGCTGTAGCGAGAACAGCTCAGAATCACACCCTGCACTTAGGCACTCAGGCTATTTCAATCCTATCCAATCATGCATACACACAATACACACATTCATATACTTAATACACATAAACATCATTATCAAGTAAATCAACACACACATATATATACATTTAAATTTATATAAATATAATAATTAATATTACGAAATTTGGGACGCTACATGAATGAAGAGCATTCTCAAGAAGTCAATTCATGAGTTGAAGGAGATCCTTTATTCATTGGCTTGTTATTTAACACTAAAGAAGATGTGAAAAATGCATTAAAATATTATACAATGAATATTCATCAAAGTTATTTTGTTCCTGAGTCTAAACTAACATATTTTTTTGTAAAATGTTTGAACCATACATCTGGTTGTCCATGGAGAATGAGAGCTTCATTGTTGAAGAATTCAAACAAGTGAAAAATTACTAGGTAGGGTGGTTCATGTATATGTGAAATGCTTGAACCATACCATCACATATATTATGAATTTGAACTCAATAAACCATACTGCTGCTCATTAGTCATCACTTAAAGTCGTCTATTCTCCCAGATTTCTAACTAAGCATTGAATTTAGCTGATCAATTTTCTCCAGTTTTTGCTCTAAGGGTAAGGTCATGTAGTTGGTTAGGCTGTTAAGTAGCCTTTGGTATGTGTTGAACTATACCAAATTGATGTATCACTCGATCAGGTTGGTGCCACTCACAAACCTGAAAACATATTAGTGGCACCATTGCCCTCCATAAGTTCATATCGTCTCTACAGATAGGTGGCAAACTGTTGATGAGTTCTATATTGTATGACACCCATACAATCTATATCATGACATAAAAAGATGATTAATACCAAACAAGCATTATTCTGTGTAATAAAACCATATTAATACTAAAATCTAAATAAGTATTTTAATAGAAAAGTGGGCTCTAAAACCTCATCACGTGTTAGACGATCAAAGATTTATTTGTAGTACTGGACATCCTTCTTCCCCTTTCTTGTAGCCTATGATAACCATCTGCAAGTAATGTTTTAATAAAAACATTAAGTATTAAACAATAACATTATATATAATTTATGTGTAAAAAAACAATAACAATAACAACTTACTTCACATTATAGGGAATATAAGGACATGTATGGGGGAAATTGCTAGGTGCTATATGAGGAAATCTATCCTAAGCCCACATCACAATCAACGCAACAAGTCCTCTAATAGTAACACGGTCAATATTGGTGGTCATGCACAACTCTCGGTACAAATAACCTAAAACTGTAGAACTCCAACTATATTGACCAGTCAACTTAAAATCTTC